ACACCCCTTTCAATACTCCAGCACAATCAAACCCGTTCTGTTCTACAGTCGGAAGCATGGGCTCACTCTTCAGGCTAAAGGCTGGACAAATATTCCAACTTTGAATATGCTTTTGCTTAGACACATGAAAAGTGGGAGTAACCTTATTTTAATATGGGGGGGGTTCTGTTTTGCACTCAGCAGCTGGTTTGTTGCTCTGTAAGGTAAGAGTGGTGTGAACAGCTATGCTGAAATCGTAAGTTCCATGGCGAGGGCTAATCTGTTACTTAGACATCTGCACTGGCTGCACATTTGCACGCCACAGTCTCTGATGTTTTCACTGCATGGGTGACTCATAGTTGGCAACAGCACAGCACTTCAGTTACTGTAACAGAAGAATCAGTAACTATTAGATTTCAGCAAGGATGCTGGGGTGACTATGGGATATATATATATATAATATATGTATCGGCATCTTTCTCAGCCCTGGTGTCTAACACAGAACTTCATAAAGAAAAGACTAATATTTTTAATTTGAAAATAATTGGATCACAGTAAATGAATACCGTAGCATGTATATAGTTACTACTCATGATTGATTTAATTAGTATAAACTAATCTAGACCTAGAATGGCACTAGACAAAAATTTATTTGTAACAATAACCTAATGATAAAGGAGAGCTCAATAATAAAGGACTATTTTCCCCAACTCAGAACACTGGGTGATTTTTTTTCAGTTTTTGAAAAGTATAAAGTTATTTTTAAACTGCTCCATAAAACATAATAGTTGCACATATTTACATGTGTATGTACCATGTGCTCTTTACATATACATATCTAGAAGGGGTAGTAATTCTTCATGAAACACAGGAGTCTAATGAGACACTATGGAATGTGGTTATTTTGCTGCTCATCCTCCAGAGTCTGGAACAGGGACACTTGGGCATCTAATAGGCCAGAGGCTTTGAGCAGACCATACAGTACATTTCATCCATAGACTTCGAATAAATAAGGGTGAGGAAAGCAAATAACAAATGTGTCTATCCAGTTTTGTAGAAAGTATGCACTGAGAACACTCAACTTAGTTTTTCTCTTCCATTGAGAATTTTGGGCGCATTTCTGTCTGGGTTAGGAGTGAAGCAGGTCAGGACCAAAAGGAGACAAAAGGTAGCGGTGGTTCTTGTCTTACCACCTCGTCCCTTCCTGTGTGACTCCTCAGGAACTGCTTGATCTGAGTTAACTCTCTTGGTCCCTTTGCCTGAGGCAGGAAGAAAAGATATTCACTCAGATCCTGGTGGCGGGAAAGGGCAGGCTCCTTCCTTAGACAAACAAGGCGTCCCTTCTTCCCTGAGCAGATGAATAGGGATCATTTACCACCGTTCACTCTGGGACTCTCGAAGGCATTATAACTGTCTTCATTCTAAAAGGACAATACACCAAGATTCTCCTTTATACTAGGACGGTGCCTTCTGATAGCCATATCACTCTCTGAAATGTCCTCCAAAACAGGACTGTCACAGCCTGACTTTCACTATAGGACCTAGGGTGACATTGACCACTGTTCACAGTCTCAACGCAAAACACTAAAAGTCTTTGGGAAAGTGCACTTCAGAAGTGCCAGACGACTGGAAAACAGGAGGTACACATGGTTTCTAGACTGTCCTATATCAATGGGAATCCCACTAATGGTTGACAATGAAATCACACAAACACACACCACACCCCACACACACACACACACACACGGCAAGTTTTTAAGAGCAAGCAATACACATATTTCTACCTAACTGAACCTTTCTATCTATAGTTTCTAGAGTCAGGTAAAATTGCATAGACATTGCTAGAGGGGTTAATTTCACTTTCTCATATGCTGTTATTAAAATTTAAAGGCTTGTTAAAAAGCTTGTATCTGCAAAGGAAGTGCTGCTGGTGACAACAGACCTAACGCACCGCTTGAACATTCATATTGCTGACTTATAGTTTCTCACAAAGAGCTTGGATTGAAGAAATGTACCAGTAAACACAGACGATTTGGGGGCTGCCTTCATCTCTTAGGCAGAGCCCTCAAAGCTATGTTTTCTCCTTAGGAAGAATTATTCTGATCACCTCGGATAGAACACCTCAAAATTCCCCATCCACGCCAACTCCTCCCTGGAGGCGAAAGTGGTAGAAACCATCTATGCCCTCTGTCAGATGAAACAGCAAAATGTTTCCCAAACTTCATCAGTTCCAGTATTCTGTCACAGCCTGTTCAGGTTTCAAAGTGAGTCAGCAGATCCTACATCGTGTTTCTCATTTGACCAGGACAGAAACGCTGAAAATGAATTATATCCACTCACTAAGATTGGAAACAGCAAGCACTAGAAACTAACCCCAATGTGATTAGAACTTGCCAGAAAGGCGAAGTATTGGCTTTGATAATAAAATTTTGTAGCAACTGCTAATAAAAAAAAAAGCAGCAGGAATAAATATTCATTGTGTCCACTCTAACTTATTAAACATGCTTCAATCCAAGTAAATGTGGAGTTCTTCTTTAAGGAGAAAAATCTTGGCAGAAATAATGTTCTAAGAGGGAGAAGAAAATATATCCTGTGTTTTGCTCAAGGGGAAATGCTCTGTTTGTGGTAAACAGAAGACAGTGACGAAATATGACATTCTTGTGCAACACCGTCTACGAACTTCCACATATAAAATGGCATTCCCTGCTTGGTTTACCATACATAGCCCATCAACAAATTAAGCTGATATTACATTTTATTTTATTGAGGAAAAAAAGAAATTCCAACAGAATCTTTTTGTTACAATGAGTATCTTAAATTTTACTTCAAACACCAAGGTAATTTTTTTAAAGAACTGGAAAAAGCCAATCACTCAAGAAACACAGAAAGGTACATCTCTGTGAGTTCGAGACCAGCCTGATCTACATAGTGAGTCCCAGAGCAGCCAGAGATGCACAGTGAGACCCTATTTTAAAAAATAAATAAGTAAATTTCTAATTGAAAAGCCTGGGAACGGTAAATAAGCACTGCCGAATTCTAAGCCATGTTCCAAGAATGCTTTATTCTCTCCTGTCCAACTCTGAGTTCTGTTTGCCCACCAAGAGACTGTTCCCATTCATCCCATAAACTTTTAATGAAGAACCCATTCTGAGTGAGGCACTGAACCAGGCAGTGGCATCACAAAGAGACCTCGGCTCTGCCCTCAGGAACTCAAAGGCTAGCACATAAAGCAAGCAACAAGTATACACAAAGATTTCAAATATACTGGCTGTCTTACAGAGCAAGATAAGGCAATGAATTCCCAGACTTCTCAACGAACACAAGCTCAAGACAAAATTTGAGCAGAACAAAACACAAAGACATAGCCACATCCCACACGTTCCTCGGGCGCTCAGAACGTCTGAGGCTCGTTGGCAGCAGCCTTACTCCACTGTCATTTCTGTCCACGGGACTGGTGGATCTTTTTCAAGGCAGTCCCCTACACCTTAACGCATGCACACTGCCCACTATTTACTGCATGCTGCATCTAAATGAATTGTTCTACTTAACTGATGAGCTATTCAAGAACTGTTTCACAACAGACCCAGTTCATGCTGTAGTCCATAAAGCTGACCTAATTTTCTAAAGACTTCATTACAAACATATCTTGATTTTTTTACATATTTTTTTTCTTTTTTTAAACAGGATCTCACAAATGTAGCAATGGAGCTCTGACTGTTCTGGAATTCATTATGCAAAGCAGGCCAGCCACCAAACTCACCGAGATCCCCTGCCTCTACCTCTGAGCGTCAAGTTTAAAGGCGTGTGCCACCACACCTGACAATTTTCAATTCAATTCTGCAAAACGTATGACGGTTACCCAAAACTAAATACCTCCTATGAACTAATTAATTTTTACATAATTTTGAAAATAACTTTCCACATATAGCCCTGCAGACACTGCTGGCCCTGTTTTACAGATGGCAAAACTGTTTTTCCAGCAAACCCCCCTACTACACACACAGCTAGTTAGTATAAAACGTGATACAGGCCTGCTGACTGTTGACAAGTTCTTTTCTCACAAATCTTAACTAGCACAGGGTTCTCACTTCCAGGGCACACCCAATAGAATCACTCAGTGTGCAACATAATACCGTTATGACAATGCAGGTAAGTTTAAACAATCACCGGGATGCGATGCAACCTCCGATTAGCAAGCAAAACAAGATGTGGAGTGGCTTCAGGTAAATAAGGAGCTTGCAGGAGAGGGGATACACACAATACTTTGCGGAAGTGAGTAAGCTGTATCACAAAGCAGCCTCCACACCCCGGTCTGTGCAGCTTCCCACCAAGAAAGAACACTGTCTTGCTATAACTGAGCATCCCGAAACTAGAGAAAGCCGATGGGTCAGGCTGAGTTCGTACCTTGCTCTAACTGCAGCTGGTCCTCCTGCAGTCTCACCTACAATGGCCAGCCACCGACTCTACAGGATAGTCTAGAGCACGTATCAACGGCACACTCTCTGCTGCGTCCTCACCAACACCACTTCCGTGTCCTAAAAACCCTCGTGGACAGCTTACTAAGCTAGCAGGAATGTTACCTGGAGTCCCAGCTGGAATGCATGTGGTTGGAAACTGTTCTGCGCTAAGGTCCTAACAGTTTTACCTTTGTGGTTTATCCGAGTTCACAACTACCGACCTCGGTGAGCAGGCAGGAAGTGCTTCCAACATAGATCCGGACTGTAAGCTAAACTGATGGCCATTCCCTGGCTAAGTTCTCTAAGGCCTGCTGCACTTTCAAGGTCTGCCCCTCCCACCTCTTGTGAAGCAGACTCCACACAGAACTCCACACACACAAAATCTGTTATAACGTTCCCTGGGCTTCACTGTGGAATTGCTTAGAAAGAAGCATGCCAGTTTGGGCTTAGGGTCTGCAAGCTTCCCATCCGGTGTCCTACGGGCTTCTTAACACGCACGTGATTAATACTGGCACTCAGGAAAGAATGCTACCTCTGACCTTGACAGTGCACTAAATAAATTACCTCAGAGCGAAAGTGATGAGATCTCAGAACAGCATCTGGGGAGAAAAGAGGGAAAATGAGACTTCATTAACTCCTTGTTCGCAGCCTGCGGAGTTGCTGATCATTTACCTGGGAAATCACATTCTAGAAGTCTCTCTCCAATTCGGTGGGCATGCTGGGGCGGGGTGGAGGGAATATGGGTGTCTCTAAGGTGATTTCTCTGCAAGAAGTTCCAGCAAAGTTGGGAGGGAAGCCCCCAAATTATCACACCTTACTTTTTTTTTCTTTTTTTCTTTTTACATCTCCAAGCTCCAGCAAAGGTTGTGTAAAGGGAAGAGTGCCTCAGCCCAGGATTCCACTACAATTACCTTCTGGGCTAAAAATTTAGCAAACTGACCCTAAGGATCGAGTCTGATACTTCCTCCCATCATCTCCAAATCTCCGTGGCTATCCAAACCCTGGTGATCTTTGGATGAACTCGAGGGCAAAAAGCCAGGGCGCGTTAAATAAATAAATGCACATAGCTTGGAGAGTGGGCAATGAAGGGGGCAGGAGCGGCAGAGGAGGCTTCAACCTCGCTTCTACCCAGAAGAAGCCAGTGGTGGCGTGTCTCACCTCTGCTTCTGGAACGACCCGAAAAGACCGATTTCATCGGATGTCTCCCTTTCTGGAGCTTGCGGTGCCAGCAGCAGAAGAAAATGATGGTGGCGATGGTGCCCAGCAGAAGCAACAAGAGGAAGAGAGCACATTGGATGCTGTAGGGTCTCAGCAAAACGAGGAAAGCCGCGGCGATCATGGTGCGGGCGAGGCGGGGGGCCGTGCGGCGCGGGGCTGAGGCGGCAGAGCGCGCTGGGCGCGGGGCGCTGGGCGCAGGGCGGGCGCGGCGGCCACGGGCGAGCGCGGCTCAGCGCGTCAAGCCCGGCGCTCGCGGACCCGCGCGCGGCCCAATGGCTGCACACCCCGCGCCGGCCCCGGAACGACTGATGGAGAGCAGCGGGCAGCTCTCGCCATGACTCAGCACACGGCGCGCCGGCGGCAGCCGCGCCCCTCCCTCCGCAGGCGCCCCAGCCTGTGCGCGGCCCTCGGGCTCAGCCCCGCCCGGGACGCAGCCGGCTGAGAGCATCGTCGGATGGCCGCCTCAGGCCTCGGCATCCCGAAGCCGTCGCACGTGGGGCGGGGCGGGGCGCGGCAGGCTGGCGGGGGGCTCGCTGGGTGACGTCACGGGCTGCGGCGGCGCGGCCGCGCGCACATGGCTGCAGCCGGGACCGAGCGGCGCGCCCTCCCGCAGGCCGGCTCGGTGCGCGCGCGCACGGCCCGCCAGGCCACGCGCCAGGCGGCGGTGCGCGGGACCCCCGGGCTTCGCCTCTGCAGCCTCGGTGGACCGACTGCTGGAGGCCGGCGTCAGGGGGCGCCAAGGAGCCTGGGGGGACCCGGGCTCCCGCCTCCCTGCGCCCGCCCGGAGGCTGGGGCTCGGAGGATGCAGCAGGGTGAGCTATTTGGTTTGGGGGCGGGGGTAGTCCTTGCGCACGGAGGCGCGAGCACCTGGAAGGGCCATCTCTAAGCCGGTCCCATCCAGCAGCGTTCGGGAGAGGCATGCCGGGGTCTGCAGACTTGCACGGTCCCACCCCCAAACTTGGTGCTGATTTTCAGCTCAGACGTGAGCTCTTAGGTCCTATATCTGGCGCTGGCCATAGAACCCTGATTTCATTTAGCTTCTTTGTAGGGAGAGGTGATTTTAGGTGTGAGCATCTAAGCGATGAAGGAAGTTGGTGATTGATTGGCCTGTAAATACTGCGGGAGAAAAATTTTAGGCACTATTAGCCAACGGTGAACTGTCACACTTGGGCACACACTCACCCTCTCTCCCTTTTGCCGTTTCCCAGCCCCCTTACATTCCCTTATAATCTGCAAAAACTGATTCGTAGTTGTCTTCTGGACACTTGAAAGTGGAGTGGTCGCTGGTCCAGTGCCAAGAAGGCAAGGTGTGAACGCTGCGGTGTGCTCTTCTGCAGAGGGCCTCTGCCACCTGGCGAGGAAGCCAGAGCTGCAGCAGCAGCCTGCAGCATATTGCGGCCTTGGCGGGCCAGTGCAGTACTCTGCCCTGCTGCCCCTAAGACATGCTGGCTTTTGTAGACTGGGTGCTTTGTTTTGTCTCATTTACTCGCATAAGAATAAAAACAAAAAAAATGCAGTTATGTGATATATGACAAATGATACATTACCACTTTTGTGCCATTTCTGGTTACTAGCTTGGAGACTAAATTATTCCCAAAATTCTGAAAGTCAATTGAAGAATTGCTAGGAATGCTCGTATTGTTTTTTAGCCATATAAAGCCAACTTGCAGTACTGCAAAAATGCTTAGCCATTAGCTGCTGTTGAGGTGGGTGATATACACTATCAAGTGTGAGCATTAAAAGAAATGCAGAAAGATGTTGCTTAGTCCTAATGCCAGATTCGTAAGTACGGATTGCAGTGGGTATGTCCTCTTATCTGCATGCTGGTTGACTAAAACAAATACAGACTGATACGGAACTCACTCAGTTTTAGGGGGCTGAGAATGGAAGGGGCCTTGCTGAGTAAGGTGGACTCTGGCATGTCAGACTGCAGGGTGCATTGCTTCCCAAACAGACTTCACGGGTCCCAGGCAGACAGCAGAGCTGCATCATGTGCCCACAGCTGAAGGATTCCTGATACTGCAGCCCACTGCAGTAAGAAACTGGATTCCCATGCACGATACAGGGGTTGCTAAAAAGAATCCTGAGAGCTTTGCAAAGTGCGGCACACCAGGAAAGGAAGGACTGACCACGCTGAATGAGCAGGGGGCTGGATACTCATTTTAAACTGTACTGGAGAAACCTTCTGCCAACATTAAGTAGGCAGAGATAACATGCAATTTAGGAAGGTCATCCTTATGCTCCTCACTGCCCAGAGCTCGTAAGTGAGCTGGAATGGCACAAACATCTTTGAATGGGAACAGCTCTGAAACTGTTAGTGCAGCAAAGTAATCCGTTTGCCCCAAATTCTGCATTTTTAACAAGGAAAAACAAGCAATTAGTAATAAGGTCCTCTGAGCTATTATTACTTTAGTGTAATTATTATCATCGTGAGCCTTGCTGCAACCATTTGCGAGTTTCAATTGCACACAAGAACATCGTTCGTCTTCTTTCTCAGGCAAATGCTTAACTAGCTAAACTTAACTAAAAAGGATTTATAAGTACTTCTTTTTATACGTATTTATTTCTGTTCTTTGTCTGGGTGATCTTAAGGATACATAAAATAAACAAACCAAGTCCTTAAAAGAATTTAGTCTATGAGTCCATTAATTTCTGGTTTATTGCTAATTTATCTTTTCCTTTCCAAATAGTAGCATGTTAGTAATTTTTTTCTATGTGTTTGTGTGGCAATACATCCTGGAGTTCAATATATATTAAATTAGCCAATCTGTCCTTCAGGGAAATTAATTTAGTAGTATTTATGCCTTCTCTTCCTGCTGCGTTCTCATTTAAAAGAGTAATTGATGTTATATAAAAGTCATAAATTTAAAATTAAAGGTAAGGGTGGAAAGAACATTCATGACACAAATTTCTCATACCAATAAATGAAAAAATCACAATGGAAAGTGTTGTAATTTATTGTTTTTATGACAGAGAATTACCACTGTAATCCCGGGGACAGGGAGTTGAGAAGAAAATAGTTTGCAGTGTGTTACATAGAAGTGATCCACCGAATAGCCTGTCTTGTCTTCAGATTCTCCACCACATTAGTAATAAATACAAGGATCCAAAAAGAAAGTAAAATATTAACTTTATTTAGGGTAAAGTCAGATCAAAGACCATTGCTTAGACTCAAGACCAAGTGGAGCACCTTACCCATATTTCCCTAAATCAGCGTGCCCACCCCCATCACATCTAAAAAAAAAAAAAAGAATCTCAGCAATACTAAAGCAGGCAAAATCAACCTCTACAAATTCCTACATAGGAACCTAAGTCTGAGACCCTGACAGTTTCCCGTCTATAAGGAACACACTAAGTGGACAGGAGACTAGCACGTGCATGAGAAGGGAGCTTTGTTAATCTTCACTAGCTAGCAGGCTATGGCAGTTAATCTGTTTGTTTGTTTGTTCTGTTTTGTTTTTATTTTTGTTTTTTGAGACAAGGTCTCTCTGTGTAGCCCTGGTTGCTCTCGAACTCGCTCTGTAAATGAGGCTGGTCTTGAACTCACAGAGATCTGCCTACCTCTGCCTCCGATCAAATGCCTGCACCACCACACCTGGCTTGTGATGGTTAATCTTATGGACCAACAAGATTATCAGTTGGAGCAAACAGAAAAGTGCCTAAGCGATTAACAAAGCACACTTCTAGATGTGTCTGTGATAACATTTTCAGAGGGGATTAAGTGAGCGGGGAGACACATCCCGAATGTGGGCAGCATCCGCCCATAGGCTAGAAGACCAGATAGCGTGAAAGAGGAACAAAGGAAAACTACAACACGGGCATATTTACATTCTATTTACATTCATCCACTCTAACCCCTCCACCCCCTGTGTGTGTGTGCACATGCGCGTGTGAATGTGTGTGTGCTTTTCAGCTGCCATAGTGCAAACTGTTCTACCTTATCACCCATGATGGACTGAAATCTGTGAAACCACAAGCCTCCAAGGCAACTCTTTTCTCCTTTAATTCGCTCAAGTCTGTCACAGCAAGGAAAATCCTACTACTAATCATTCCTTCCTCAGTTTTTCTCATTCCTAACTCTACCTGAAAGTTAAGCGTAAGTTAAGTTCGGGGGTGGGGGGGCAGGAGAAATTGATCAGTCCGTAAAGGGATTGCCTTGCAAGCATGAGGACCCGTGTCAAAAAACAAAAACCAAGCAAACCAACAAAAAAAATGGCAAACCTGCATGTTTGTAATCCTAGCATTGGGGAGGTTAGTCCTTGCAGATCTAGCCAGACATCCTAGCCTATATATGGAGGTACAGACCACAAGTGACCCTTTCCCCATAAAATGAAGGATTGCCCTTGTGGTGCAGCTCCCCAGTTTGTCCTTGGGTGTCCCCACTCATATGTACACATGTGTTGCGAGCCCTACCAGAAAGTAAGTGGTTTTAATAAAGCAGAAATATCTTGTATATGATTTCCCTAGAGTCAATAGGTGTGGCACAATTTACTAATTAATAGGTCAGGAAGAAATAGCAGGAGGAAACAAGGTTTCCAGCCCAAGCTGTGTAGACAGAGAATAGCGGAAGATGACTCAGACTCTGTGCCAGGGTGGAAACAATGAATTTTGAAGGAATACCCAGGGTAACAGTGTGTAAAGAGCCGACAAACTCGTGTAAATATGGGCAGAGAATTCCAAACCACAAACGGATGCGGGACGAGTCATCGCATAGATTGCAACTGAAATCATAGAAATGGGAGAAGTAGCTAAAGAAGAGAAAGCCTAGCAAGGGGAATTGGAGCTTGGAGGATGGCTCCCGTTTGTGGGAGGGGGAAGGGCAGAAGGCAGGACTGCTCAGTGAGTAGTGTCCCGGCCGAGCAAAAGCTCTAGAGCAAAGAGAGAAATTCCCCTGAGGAACGAGGAGGGGCAGACGTTGGGACATTTTCCAGAGGATGGAGTGGGCTTGATAAAAGAGGCTAAACCACACAAAAAAAAAAAATGGGTCACAGAGGGATTAAGTTAAAAGGGGACTTTCCAGAGACACCGTCCACAATCTTTGGAGAAATTTAACGGATGGAAACAAATTAAAAGCAACAAAAGTCTGAGTAAAGCCCAGAGGTCCTAGTTTTGTCTAGATCAGAGGTTCTCAACCTGTGGGTCACAGCCCCTTTGGGCGTCAAATGACCCTTTCACAAGGGTCGCCTAAGACCATCAGAAAACACAAATACTTATATTGAAATTCATAACAGTAGCAAAATTACAGTTATGAAATAGCAATGAAAGTAATTTTATGGTGGGGGAGGGGGGCTGCCACAACATGAGGACTGTGTTAAAGGGTCACACATTAGGAAGGTTGAGAACCGCTGGTCTAGAAACTTAGCATGATGGATCATTGTTGTCTGTTTGTTTTCTTTTGCTGTGGTAATATGCTATGTCAAAAGGAACTTTGTGGAAATGG